ACAAGGCCATAGCTACTCCTACAAGACCACACCTCCTACTAGTGCCACTCCTTATGAACCCATGGGAGCCATTTTCATTCAAACAACCACAATGGGAAATACCTGAGCTTGTCTTATATACAAGTCTGACATCTTGGGCATTGCTGATTTCTGTGTGAAGTTTGCCTTTTTAAAAACATTACATTTGTGGGATAAGGAATGATTCAGTGGTTAGGGCTCTTGTTGTACAAGCTGACCATAGGGAGTTTTGGATCCAATGCCACGTAAATGCTGGGTGCTCAAGATAACATCTTGCAATGCCAGCATTTGGAAATAGAGATGGGAGATTTCTGGAACAAGATGGCTAGATTGGTGAGCTAGATAGTTTCTGGGTTCAACGGGGAAACCCTGACTTCCTTCGTATAGAAGAGTGTTAAATATTATTACAGGAAGTTGTAGTTTTGGTCTATGTTCTGCAGTGGGCCTCAACAAGACTGAAAACCAAATCAGAGTTACTGACATTCAAGTCTCATATCACCAACACTAATCTAAGCTTTTATTTGACCTTTAAAACCAAAGGTGGAATGTGGTGGCATATGTCTTTAATTTCCACACTGGGGAGGCAGAGGCAGGAAGATCTCTATGAATGAGTTCAAGGCTAGTCTGGTCTATGTAGTGAGTTCCAGGCCAGACCCTGTCTCAAAACCAACCAACCAACCAACCCACCAAAACAAAAATAAACACACAAAGCCACCCCCTCAACACACAAAAAAAACCAAAACAACAAAACATAAGCAGACAAAGGAGAGATGACGGCCAAATCTTCAAACAGATTGCTCACAGTAGAATGAAGTTCCGTCAGTCCTGAGCGCTTGCTTGGAGAGCGACTACTCATATGCCGAGTCCTTTTCTATTTGGGGAAACATGCAGCTGCAGGTGGCATGCACCTGGATTAGCCAGTCAGATGAGCTGCATCAAACCTGGCAATCAGTGGGATGACAGTTTTCAAAGCCAGGTCATCCTCATGTCCCTTTCCATCTTAATCCACACACCAGAAGTTTCCCGATGCTAAAGCAAGTAGTTCTTTTTCTGCTGTCTTACTCTCCCTCCTTTATAAGAAAAAGCAGCTTTGAGATGGCCCACCAACTTGTGTGTGTTCTTATGTGAGTTGGCAAACACATCCATGTGGAAGTCAGAGGTCAGCCCCAGGTGTCACTCCTCTGTACCTGACCACGTTGTTTCTTTGTGGTAGGGTCTCTCACTTGCCTGGGCTCACTGATTTGGTTACACTACTGGTCAGTAAGCCCCAGGGATCTTCCTGTCTCCAGCTCTTCCGACTGGCATTATAGATACATGTCATGATGCTTAACCATTTTTCACACAGATTCTAGGAGACTAAGCTAGGTTTGCATGCTTTCATGACAAGTTGTTTACTGACTGAGCTAACTCCTTAGCCAGTTTTTGTTTTTTGTTGCTACTGTCTTATGTACACCAGACTTGAATACTCAACCTTCCTGCTGTTTTCTGTTGGGATTAAAATCGAGAGTCACCACACCTGTTTATTCTATGCTAAGTATTTTAAGGTTGAGTATTTATCTGAAGTACTTGTGACCAGAAGTGTTTTATGGTTAAGATTTTTCTTATTAAAAAGTTTTACAAGGCCGGGCGTTGGTGGCGCACGCCTTTAATCCCAGCACTCGGGAGGCAGAGGCAGGTGGATCTCTGTGAGTTCGAGGCCAGCCTGGTCTACAGAGTGAGTGCCAGGACAGCCTCCAAAACTCTGTCTCGAAAAAAAACAAAAAAAAAGTTTTACAAATATACAAAATATGATATCTGGGGACACGGAACCTAAGTCTAAAAGTGAAATTTGTGCATATTTCCTCGGTACCTTATACACATAGCCTTAAGGTAATTTGATACACTATTTCAAAAGGTTATTTTAAGTGTATGGGTGTTTTGTTGCATTTATGTCTGTGCATCAATTGTCAGGTCCCCTGGAACTGGAGTTTTAGATGGTTGTGAGATACCATATGGGTGGTGGGAAGTGAACCCGGGTCCTCTGGAAGAACAGTAGGTACTCTTGACTGCTGAGTCGCCTCTCCAGCCCCTGATGCACTATTTTTGATGTGCTTGTTTTTGACTGTGATCCATCTCATGAAGTCAACTATGAAATTTTTCACTTGTGGTACCGTGTTGGAAATCAAGAAGATTTAGGTTTGGGGGCATTTTAGTGGTGTTTGACTTGTTTTGATTCAATTGATTCTACTTTGTGATGAAATATAATTTTCCTTTTAAAAAATGTACATGTATGGGTGTTTTGACGGCATGCATGTCCGTGTACTGTGAGGGTGTATGTGTAGCTAGTGCCTATGGGTACCAGAAGAGAGTGCTGCATCCCTGGAACTGGAGTTGCAGACCATTGTGAGCCATCATGTGGGTACTAAGTTAAGCCAGTTTTCTTAACTGTGGAGCCATCTGCACCTGTGTCTGGCAGTGTGGCTCTCATAGTCTGTTTCTCTAGACAGTGAAAGATGGCTATACATTTCTTCCCTTCCTTTTCCCACTGACAAGAACAGGAACCCTCTCTCCTAGTGCCCGACACTGTAGGATGTTGTATGTCGTTCTGCGGCTTCTGAGGCTGGTTTGGAAGAAGCTCTTGTGAATTTCTTCCTGAGACTTGGAGCAGTTCACTGTTGGACACAGCAAGACACCCAAGTCACATAAAGATGTTACTGTGAATGATCCTGTTGACATTCCCAGAGCAGCACCTGAAAAAGTCATCTTCCAGTTGTATGAGACCACCATCTTGGGTATCTGGGCAAGTGGCACTTTTGTATAACTCCAGCCCTTGATCCTGTGCAATGGATTGTGGTCTCATGAGAGTCCCAATTACTTGGGAAAGTAATGCAAATAGTTTTGGGTATAATAAGTGATGGAAGCAGTCAACCTTGTCAGACCAAAGCAAGGATGATGTCACTGTCGCTTGAGAGCTCCCATGCCAGCCCTCTCATACAGTATTTCTCATGGGAACAAAGGAAACCCATCAAAACTCATTGTTCACCCTGAGATAGAATAGATTTATTAGCAAGAGGTAATCAGGAAACATATATTTTTACAAAAATGGAAATCTTTTTCTTTTTCAAACAAGCTGTAAGTTGAAATATTTTAGGGCTTGAAATAGAATTCTCATACCGCTAGGTATTGCTTACAGCAAAAGTTGTCTGTCTGCTGTAGTAGAGCATGCCTGCCGCTTCTGAGTGTACTCTACTGTACAATGTAAAAAAATCATGGTAATATATTCACAGAGTAAGCACTACCTCACTATATTCCTGCTAGAAGGCATTTCGACAGGACTACAGTATATGCAATAAAAACACTCGGTTATTGATTTCCTAATTCTACATCATGGGACTAATTACCACAAAGTATACAGACTCAGGGCATCTCAACATAAGCTTGTAGTGACTGTCAGGCAGCAGAAGGAGAAGTGATTTATTTTGTGTGTGTGTGTGTTCCTGACTTCCAGTGGAGGCTGGGCAGAGGTCGGCCAGAGTCACCATGACTTGGTGGAGTGATTCCATTTTCCTAGAGAAGTTCCAGGGCTTTGTCCATTTCTACTGAGCCTGATTTTCATGCTATCTGATGTTAATCCTAGAGCAGAGGGCAGCATGGTGCCGGAAGTAGTGGTGTTTGGTGCAAGGGGTGTGGTTCTCAGCTGAGTAGACACCCTTTCAGCCTGGCTTACTGGGATTTGACAAATGGGGACTGCTGAGACCTGCGATTTTGGCTGAAGAAGCTGCTTTGGAAATTGGCATCACCATCAGCAGAAAGAGGTGTCAAGGATTGGACTTGCAGGTATGGCTTCCCCCTCCCTCCTCCCCCTCCCCCCCCACCCAGTTATAACAACTACATGGAACATGCTGGGGAGGATGCCTGGGTGGCCTGAGCTAACCCAGGGGCCTGGGCTGGGAGGGACTGAAGCAGGGCTGGAGTCCAAGACTTGTGTCATATGGGTTCTGCCTCCCCTTCTGATTGGAGCGAGGCCCCAGAGCTGACAGGGAGTACAATTGTTTGAAGGAACAGGCTCCGCAGGGGGGTGGGGCAGAGTCTGAGACAGTGCAGAAATTCATATTCCGGTTCTACAGGAATCTAAGAACAAGAACAGATTTGTATTCTTGGAGAAGCACATACTGAAGAAGGAATCCAGAGGAACCAAACGATTATGTACACTATCATATAGCAGATGTCCACGGGAGCGGCTGGGGCAGGCTGGGTGCAGCTTCAGGTCGGGAGTTTTGGTTCTATTCGGAGAGAAGACTCATAGAGACTTTCTTCATCCATTACGAAAGATTGATCCAGTAAGTACTGAGTTACCTGAAATGACAGAAAGGAGCAATAGACTTATGGGACGTTCCAGGCTGTGGACATTGGGCATCCTGCAAAAGTTTTCTTTTGCTTTGTTTTTGTTTTTTGAGATAGGTTCTTACTCTATAGCCCAAGGCTGGCCTGGAACTCACTACGGAACCATCCTTCTGTTTTCATCTGAAAAATGTGGGGATTACAGATGTACAGCACCATGCCTGGTGGAGCCATTTTTGTAGGTTCAGGACATACATGTGAGACACAGGATCTTGGCATCCTCCACCACCCTCTAAGGCTCTTGTTATGTGACAATGCTAACTCTAGCCTCAAACTCAGGATCCCCTGCCTCAGCTTCCCAAGTGCTGACACCATCATATTTGGCTGTGTTTTGTCTTAATAGAACTTTTCTATTTAAATTATGTTTTAAGATTTGTGTGTGTGTGTGTGTGTGTGTGTTGCTGGAGTTAGAGCTGCTGAGCTATATCCACAGTTCCTATATTCTAATATATTCTGTTATTCTATATTACATATTAATAGTAATAAAACACAGATGGCAAACATTACTCTCAACTGTCTTCCTTCCTTCTTTCCTTCTTCCCTCCCTCCCTCCCTTCCCCCTCCCCCTCTCCGTTCTTTCCCCCTCCCTTCCTTTCTTTTAGAGTTGATCTCTTGAGGAAATGTTTTGGGCTTGAACAAAGCAAACAACTCCCTGAAAAGGCCAATTGTTGAATCTAAGTGACAGGTGTGTGTTCATATTCCTTTCAATGTTTCAGTTTGAAGAGTTCTCCAGAAACATCAGGCGTATATGTTTACACACAGCAGCCCTGTCTGGGGGAAGGGCCCATGTAGGTTTCCCATGGCAGAGTCTGACAAAAAAAGTTAGGATGAAAAATTGAGAATGGTCACCCTGGGAAATTTAGTTGTATTTCTTCCTGATTGCCCACTTTACTCTTGATCCTAAGTCTTTGCTGAGTTCTTGCACATTCAACGGGATATCAGAGCTATAACCTTACAGGCATCCTCTCCAACTAAGGTTCATGTATTTATCAATTTGGAATCAAGCATGCCTTTTTCCCTTCACAGAAACCAAGAGCAAGAAGGAAAAGAAACAACACCCGTATTCTGTGCTTGAAAGTCTAGTGATAGCTGCTTGCTGGAGATCAAGCCTGTTGCTTTTGTCTTGGGGAATTGACTCTGTCACCATGAAGGTCAGAAGCAGTTGGACATCGATTGACAGTAACAGATGAAATTTTTCCTATGTCTGATTGACAGCTCACAGCTTGTACCTCTAGGAAGATGACCTCAGATGTCAGAGTCTGGCTTCACCCAGCCCATCAGGTAAAGACAGGGTGACCTATGATGGATGAAATGAACTAAATTTTTAGCCCTAGCTAGGAACTCCATGGAAAGGGTTCTTTTTAGACTACATAAATGCACCCAGCTCCAAAAGCAGACTGACCAGTCCTTTCCATGTGAGCACAAAGTTCAGTTTCTGTTTTCCCTGAGCTGGAGACTGGTGACAAATCCATCCTTGCTGGGACACTTAAGAAGTCAGAGGAGCAGTGGTGTTTATTGTATTGAACATCAGAGATTGAAAGAAGGTTAAAGTAGTGGCAGGAGACAGAAAAGAGCCTTGAAATTTTGTTGGTAACTTCTGGGACTTTCCAGGGTGCCATGTTACCACCACAGTGTTTTCTAGATACCGTATACGACACACTAAGGAGGCTCCTCCAAACACTGCCAAATTTAAATGCGTAGTTATGTCTTATTATTATTATTCCCCCCCTTCGCTGTGTGAATTTAGGTGTGAGCATGCAGGGCTTGAAGGACAACTTTGGTTGCCACCTTTGGGTCTCTTTGCTGTGTACTGTTGTGTGGTCAGGCCAGTTGGCCTGAGGTCCTGGAGATTTTATCTCTGACTCCCAGTCATATGAGTCAGATATTCCCATCTCGCCATAGGTGCACTGTGCTTATGAACATGTACTACTGAGGCTGGATTTTATAGGCTTTGGGGATTTGAACTCAGGTCCTCATGTTTACACAGTAAATGCTTCTCCTACTAGGCCAGTGATTCTCAGCCTTCTTTATTGGACCGGTTAACACAATTCCTCATGTTGTGGTGATCCCCAGCCATAAAATTATTTTCATTGATACTTCAGAATTGTAATTTTGTTACTGTTATGAATCATAATGAAAATATTTGTGTTTTCCGATGACCTTAAGTGACCCCAGTCAAAGGGTTGTTTGACCCTGAAAGGGGTCACGATCTACAGATTGAGAATCACTGCACTAGGCCATCTCCTCAGCCCTTAATATCATTTATAAGTTAAACGATGTGTGGCTGGGGATATAACTCAGTTGGTAGAGTGCTTGCCTAGCATGTACACAAGTAATCCTAACCCTCAGGAAGTACTTTAAAAAAAGTGCTAGATATGGTGAGAGACAAAGGCAGGCCAGTCTCTGTGAGTTCAAGGCTGGGCTGCTCTACATATTGAGCTCCTGGCCAGACAGGAGAGAGACCTTGTCTTAAGTAAAAATATAAAGATTAAAAGTAACAGAGAGACCATGCACACATTTTTTGGACTTGATTTGTGTGTGTGTGTGTGTGTGTGTGTGTGTGTGTGAGTGTGTGAGAGAGAGAGAGAGAGAGAGAGAGAGAGAGAGAGAGAGAGAGAGAGAGAGAGAGAGAGAGAGAGCTGTTCATTTAGTTTTTCTTTATGCTGTACTAGGTGGGGATTGAAACCTCACAGCCTCGATCATGCTAAGCAAGCATCCCACCACTAAATGCTGATGTCATTCTGCATTTTTTCCTGCTTTGTCTATTTCCCTCCAGAGTGCAAACTCATGAGGACCAAGCACGTATCTGTTTTGAATACCGTGCCTTGTGGCCTGAGATGGTGCTGGGAACACAGTACTCACTCAACACATATGTGTCTATTGGATGGAGGAAGAGACACACAAGTGGGCCAGTTAGTTATCCACACACCTTCTCTACATGGCAGAACAGAACATGGTCCAGAATTAACCTTTGTTGGTTTTTGAGATAGGGTCTCTCTTTTATGTAGCTCTGGCTGTCCTGGAACTCACTATATAGATGAGGTTGGCCTTGAACTCACAGAGATTCGCCTGCCTCTGTATCCTGTGTGCTGGGATTAAAGGTGTGCATCACCATACCCACCAACAACCTTTTTTTTTTGAGACAAGTTTTCAGGTAGTCCAGGCTGGCCTCAAATTTGTTATGTAGCCAAGAATGACCTGGAACTTCTGATATTTCTGCTTTCACCTCTCAGGTGCTGGGGATACAGGACCAGGCCACCATGCCTGGTTTTATGCTGGGGATTGGACCCAGAGCATCATACATGTCAGGCAAGTACTTTACCAACTAAGTCACGTCCCCAACTCCAACACAAGCTATTTCTTTGGGCTTGGTTTGTAGCGGAGAAAGGCTAAGATGAGCTAGACGTCCATCTGCATAAAGGATTAGTGAGAGAAATACGTTTCTCTGCAGTTTTAAGCAGGAATAAGGCCACTCTGTCTCAGGAAGGAGTGACTCTAGACACTAGGATGATGCCGAGCCATGGATAGCAGGTGACATTGTAGTAGAAAAAAAATGTGCTGTGTTTATTGACTGGCCCAGATATAGACTTGAGAAGCAGGGCATTCTTGTCTTTGGGAGGAAAACCTGTGATTTGTGTGTCTTTGAGACATAATGCTTTTCAACACTAGAGGTGTTTAGGGCTGGGGATAGGGCTCAGTTTCCTGACTGCCATCTGTGAAGTACTGGTTTGATCTACTGCACCATAGGGAAGGAGTATGGTGGTGCCCGCTTGGATTCCTCGCCCCTGGGGAATGGAGGCTGGATGATGACAAATTCAATGTTGTCTTTGGCTACATATTGAGTCTGATGCCATCATGGGCTACATGAGACCTTGAGAAACACCAATCAAGGCCAGCAAGACGGTTCACCTGGTAAAGGCACTTGCTGCCAAGCCTGGAGATCTAAATTCAATCCCAGGAATTTATATGGTGGAAGGAGAAAACTGACTTCTACAAGTTGTCATCTTATTTCCACAGACTCTGTGGTATGTATGTATGTGAATACACACACACACATACACACACATACACACACCCTATAAACCAAAAACTAAGCAAAAACACAACTAACCAACCAAGCAAAGGGGATGTTTGGAGTCACCTCTCTAGCCCTGTGGGAGAACAGACATTGTTTTAAGTCACCCTGTGGGATGCCAAATCGGGCAAGAATCACAAGTAAGTGCCAGTTTGCTTCTGGCCAGGGAACAGGAATAGAGAGGCATTGTTTCTGTAAGGGCATGGCATTTTATGCTGGACCAGGAGGACCCTGGAAGAGATGAAGAAAGGTGCTTCGGGAAAGGGCAGAAGCCTGTATAGACAGCAGCACTGAAGGAGAGGACGGAACCCAAGTGTTGCCCTCTTACCTTTGCTTGGTGTTCGATTTTGTAGGCAGTCTGTTGAAACTGGCGAATCTCTCGGATAATATGGGAGATCTGCGGGAAGGCAGGGGAGTTTTAGGATAGTCTGCTCTCTCGTCTGCCTTATGGATGAAAAGGGTCATCGGTAGCTATGTCTGAAGTCACACTGCCTCCTGGGAAAGCCTGTTGGTTTTCTTTATACAAGTCACCTGTTTCCGAGGTGAAAACTGTCTGTTGGGATATCAGTGCTAGTGTGTGTGTGTGTGTGTGTGTGTGTGTGTGTGTGTGTGTGTGTGCACGAATGCTTGATAAGATGATGAGAACTCAGGGCAAGGGTCACAGACTTCCCAACACCACTGCAACCGAGCCCTGGCCACCAGTCAAAGTGAAAGGCTTGTGGGTGTCTAATGTGTGCATGACAGGATGTGAAGCCTAAGGGCTTCCTCCCTCCATCACCAAGGGGGAGTTCCCGTTTATGTCTGAAAGGTGCGCTTCTTATTCAAGTGTAAGCCCATTTTACAAAATGGGTGCAAACAGAGGCTCTGGTTGGGGTGAGCGAGAGGGGTGGGGGCCTGAAGTCCTGTGCATACTCAGAGGGGTCACCCCATGTTCTGGATCTTTAGGAGCAGATTTGAAACTTGCTTTCTTGGGTGTTGTTGCAGGATGGGTTTTCTTTAGTCATACCAGACAAGCATTTCTGTGAGCACTAACGGTGGGATGTGAGGAAAGCTGTGGGCTTTGGGGTCAGATCCAGCATTAAGAACTGGTTCTTTTTTATTTTATACATGAGGGTCCCTGGTCTCTTGACCTCACCCATCCTCCCGTAGGGAGGGTTAAAGTGGGAAAGGCAGGGAACTCAGGGCTAATGTCATTAGTGTCAGTCATAGTTTTACTGGAGGCCTTCCACCGGGGGGCACTCGGAACAGGTGCAGGCTGGCGCAGAGTCTGCGTGCCTCAGTCTGACATTGTGCCCCCATCTACCCAGGGAAACATACCATCCTCATCTTGGAGAAGTTGACCAGGCCGTCCTCTGTGTAATTGGGTGTCCCCTCCTCGATGAAGGCCAAGTCAGTGAGGTACATCCCCAGGTAAGGGACACAGGGTGGGTCACAACTTGGAAACAAATGGCATCCACAAAAGTTTTTCACTTAAGGAAAGGAATTTCTGCTAAGAACAGAACACCCTGCATGCAGATTTTGCCTGGCTAGAAGCAATGGGATTTCTAGTTACAAGGAATCATAGGCGCACACAAGCCTAGACTGCCGGCTAGGCTGGAGGGTGGGATAACACGGAGCTACCTGGGCCATCCCGCACAGGCTGGGGGGTGGGAGGGGATCTTATTTGTATCTCCTCTCTCTGTGACCCAAAATGCCTTTGCTTGTTTCTCTGGTGTCTACGTAGGGGAGCTCCCCAGCTGTTCCCAGCCTCCTCCCAGCCCACTGTCCTTTCCACTGTCACTCTGTTCTGTCATCTTTGGGAAGGCTGGACCACCACACCCAAGTTCCAGCAGTCAGGCAGTGTGTCGTCCCCAAGACCTGTCCTCTTGCCACCGAGGTTTAGGGGCCAAAGCAGGAAACCCTGGCCCTCTTGACTACCTTCCTGGAAGTGTCTTCTGGAAAGGGTGGGTGATTCTCAGGGTCTATGGTTACAAGAGATGAGACCCTGGTGTGATGGACCAGGTTTCTGATGTGTGGCTCTGAGCAAGGATTCATAGCCTGTACCATGGCAGCTTTTCTGGTGCCTTGGGAGGGTGCAGGCAAAGGATTAGTGGGGTTGGAGATGGAGTGAGCAGCCATTATTCTCCCTTCAGCAGGACTCAGGGAGTCCTGAGATAGTGCTCGGCAATTTCCTCTCAGCTCAGCGCAGAGATGCCAGGAGGCTTGTTCTTCGGGCCACTTGCACTCCTGTCATGCTGGAGGAAAGTGAGGTACAGACCCTGAACTAGTCCTCCTGTCTCCATCTCCCCTGTGCTGGGATTAAAGGTGTGTACCGTTACATCTGCTTTTTAGTGGATGGTTTTGCTTTTTTGAGACTGGGTCTCTCTACATAGCCCTGGCTGTCCTGACCATCAACACCTGGTTTTATGTGGTGCTGGGGATCGAACCCAGTGCCTCTTGAAAGATAAAGTAATCATTCTACTACATTCCCAGCCCAAGATATGACATCTTCAATAGATAACTATCTAGTGAGATTGCTCTGGAACAAAGATACAACATTGTCCACTCTTAAGAGTTAATCCAAAGGGGGCTGGTAGTCACTTGAACAGGAACAAGTTTTTCAGGAAGCTGTTCTAGAGATCTTTTAGAAAGAGTCTGAAGCCCACTTAGCTATGTAGGTCACCACACTGGTCCCCAGTGCTGGCTCTCACCACTTATGGATGTATCTTTTTTTTTTTTTTTTTTTTGGTTTTTTACGAGACAGGGTTTCTCTGTATTGTTTTCGAGGCTGTCGGTCCAGCCTGGCCTCAAACTCACAGAGATCCGCCTGCCTCTGCCTCCCGAGTGCTGGGATTAAAGGCGTGTGCCACCACCGCCCGGCACATGTATCTTAAACTCTATCATGAATTCTATATATCTTCTACACTGTACTGTGAATCCTGCCTGAGTTCTTTTGATAGAGACCACTAGGACCAGGAAGCTGAGGAGAGTCTAGAATAAAAGACCCATGACAACAGGCTGAGATGATTCCAGGGTCAATGGAGTCAAGGATCCACACAGGAGAGCCGCTGCAGGACTCTTTGGGTGTGTCACTCTGTCTGTGTGGAGACTGCTGTCAATTATCTTCTGCTTTCTGGCCCTTTTCTGGTGAAACAGATTCCCCAGCGTCACTGGGCATAGTATGTTCTCCATCTCCACAGGACAGACTTGCCTTACTTAAAGATCTTGGCTCCCAGAAGCCCCCTAAGCCCTCTGCCCTGTGCCATAGACAGCAGAGGGTTCTAGGGGAGGCACTTACACAGGCATACAGATGACCTGAAAGGGAAGACAGTCAGGAGAGGGACTCAGACAGAATGGGAGCCACGGAGACAGTTAGGTAGCAGTAGTGGCTGCGGTGGATGAGGAAGCCGTGTGAAGGAGGCAGATGGAGCAACGCCCAGAGGCAGACGGACAGTTGGTGAGTGCACAGTGGGGCAGCTCCGTACAAGCACAGTCCACAGGGGCTCCTGGGAGCCCGGGCGGAGGAGACACGGCCGAACAGCACAGATGGGTTCAACATCTGTCTGAGGACATAAACAAAGTGGAAATGGTCAAGGCGATGGCACACTGAGCTAGTGACGGATGGACAGGAAGTAGGGCAGGAAGGAAACAAGAAGAGGCAGGAGAGCTGGCTGGGAAGACGGAGTGAGCAGGGCGTCCCAGCCAATGTCAAGGGCTGGAGGTTTTGGCTGTCCCATGACCATGTTCGGTGCCCTCCATTGGGACTCTTATTGGCTGTCGTCAAGAGGTCCCTTATGGAAGAGGAGAGTGTTCCTGGAAGCTTTGAGGATCCAGCATCTCCAAGGTCCATTGAGGAGCCAGCCAGTCAGCCAGCCAGCAGTGAGACAGGGACAAACGGGGGTGGGACCTAGTGTGGCAGCCCCAGGCAAGCATCTCTAGGGAGTAATAAAAACAGCAGGCTTTGTCTTTTCAGAGCCTACACCAAATGAGTGTGCGGCCAAAGTGAGCTAAGCATGGCTTTCCCTGAACCATATGGGGCAGTGACCAAAGCAGACTGCAAAGTACTGGTCTTGAAGGCCAGCTCAGTCCAAATCCAGGTTCTAATGCCATGGTCACATGACCTTGGCATAGCCACTAGGTCCCCATCTTTTGTCTAGAAAGATACGATGGAAAGAGCTGCCTTAGGGCGGGGGTTCACAATGTCTGGAGATGTTTCTGCTAGTCTGAAGAGAGAGATGTCATTAGCATCCCATGGGGTGAGGCCAGGGTACACCTAGAAATCCCACAATGCATAGGCAATTGTGGTATTGAACAGAGAACCATCCTGGACCAAGTGACAATAATGCTGAGGTTGAGTAGCACACTTCCCAGGCAATATCAATGGGGTACAATGGCTATGGACAGGGCGGTGCCCTGCAAATTGTTAAGATGAAGTTATTAACTATTGGTAAAATGTAGTTCTTTGGTTCCAAGATGCAACTGTTAGTAACTTATACACTCATTTTGGTGACTTTTTTTGTGTGTGAACAAGAAACACAATCACACTAAATAAACCAACTTGTCATACCAGTTATTGGAGCTATTGAAGTGGAAAATTGCATGTAAGAATTAAGAAATCTGGCAC